GCCCCCTGCTGCTGGGCCCCCAGAACTGCAGCATCTATACGTTTCCTGTCAGTCTCAGTGGCAAGAGGAACACATTTCATCCCATTCATTCTCAACTTCAGCCTGGCCACAACAATGTCCAACACTGATTCCTGCACACAGAGCACCCACTGGAACTGGACAAGAGAAAGAGAGAAGCAGGCAAAAACATAAATATTATATTTGTTCTACACATGACAAGTGGTTTTCAATCAGTGTGCACCCCTAGCAGACTATGGCGGTACTGCTGAAGCGCTGTTAACTGGTTTTATTTTAGAAAATAAGCACTAATAACAAGTAGTATATATTAAATATTAGATATCTAATTATTAAATACATATATAAATACCACATAATGTTTTCCTATGTTCTTTGCTGAAAACCTTGGAAACTAGTAAAATACTTACTGTATTGGAATAGGTAAGATTTTTTTTTTATATATTCTTGAGAAATTTCTCATGCTCTCCAAGGCTGCATGCATTTGATCAAAATACAGTAAAACAGCAATATTGTGACATATTATTACAATTTCAAAGAAGGTTTTTTTTTTTTTTTTTTAAATATGTACATTTATTCAGCATGAATTGAATAACTGATCGAAAGTCACAGCACTGTCGAGGTCTGCCGAATCAAAGATGATAAAAGGGCACACAGAGCCGAGTGAGAGAGAGAAAGATATGGGGACTCCCCAACCAGCTACTGCTTTAGCCAGGGCTTCTCCAGTCTGTTGTCTTCCGCTGTAGGTCTGGTAGTTCACTTGTGGATTTTGAGCCACTTTGGCACCCAGAAATGCTTCACTGCCTGTTACCACATTCAGTACTCCAGCAGGGATCCCAGCCTCCATAAACAGCTGAGCCAACAGAAGGGCAGGAAGAGCGGTAGTCTTGCCAGGCACCACAATAACAGCATTGCCTAGAAAATAAATAGACATGTAAATAAATAATATTTAACCCAGTTTGATTTGCACCCGCGCATCTCATTCAGATAAGATTACTAGTTTTTACATTTATGAGCAAGAACTCCTAATGAATTAAGCTATTTTAAATCATAAATGATATATATTATTTGTTAAAGCAGTTAAATGCAGGGTTATAATTATAGTTCATTATATTTAGAACTAAAACCATAAAAAATTGTTATTTGAAATAAAACGTTAACTGAAATAAGAATAAATATAGTAATTTTAATTCAGCTAGTTGCCAAGGGAACACTTCTCATTTACATTTAGTTGAACTTAACGTACTAAAACAACTACAAATATATATATTGAAAACAAAACGAATTAAATGACAAACAACAACAACAAAATGAACTAAAAATGAAAATATACAAATGTAAATAATTCAAAATATTATAGTTAATTATAGTTATAACGAAAAACATAAAACATTTTACTTAAAATAAAATTTAACTAAAATTAAATTAAATAGTCATTTTATTTCAGCTATTTGCCAAGGCAACATTTCACAGTTTTATTTATTTAATGTAATGTACTACAATAACTAAAAATAAAATGAAATAAATAATAATAATAACTATATAGATATATTTTAAAAACAAAAACGAATCAAATGACAAAAACACAAAGTGAACAAAATGAATTAAAATTACAATGGAAAATTTAAATGATTCAAAATATTTTATTAATAAAAACTATAATACTATCTTTATGATGCTAAAATAACACTGGTTAAATGTAAACCAATGAAAACGGTTTAACAATACACACATACAACCCCCACAATTTTATAGGGACGATGATCAAAATACTCTCAATACTAAGGTGAAGTACAAAATTGATTTTAAAAATTGATTTATAGTTTTCAGTATTACATTTAAATGTGAAACATGTAATTTACTTGCCATTAGTGCTGCATCTGCAACAATGCAATTTTTTGAAAGTGCCACAGTTTTATTACGGTCAACACAAGTTAATCTTCAAATGCCTAAACTGCTGCTGTCAGCAAGTTATTTAAAAAAAAAAAAAAACAATATGTGAGAACTTCTGTTTCTTTTTTTTCTTCCCTGTTTTTATGTCACTTCATTCATCTTTTGAAAGAGTGGGTAGTATATGAAAGTATCATAATATTGTTCATATATGTATCTTATCATGTTTTAAGAGAAAGACTCACCCATAGCTAGAGCTGGTAAAACCTTAAGCAGAAGAAAGTAGACGGAGCAGTCATCTGAAACAACCACTGCCACAACGCCTAGTGAACAGACAAAATATGACATGAGACTTTTAGTACAACCATGCCTCCTACTTACAACACATTTTCTCACTGTCTTCAACAAGTTCTGCCTCTCAGACTCACATACACACACACACAAACAAACACTCACATACCTTGCGGGATCCACTCAGGCATGAGCGTGTCTCGTAGCTGAGCCCAGCTGGCATAGTACTGGGCCTGTCTAATGAGCACAGCAGGAGAAGTAGAAGACTGAGAGAGCTCACACAGCTCAGACACACACTGACTGTGTCTCTGCAGGACACTCGCCAACCTGGGGCACAGACATACATTAATAATGATGTAGCATGATGTAACATGGAACATTTATGACATTATTTTGAGTAAAGCTCTAGTACTTGAGTAACACTTTGGCTCTTTGGTAACAGCTCAGTTCACTCCAGGTTTTGAAGCCTCCAGCTGCAGATGAGGCAGCAGACGCAACATCCTCATCTTTAGCACAAACAGTGCTGCAGACCACCGCTGCTGTACAAAGACAGGAGGAGGAGGGCAGGAGAAGTTATCTTTATCACTGCATGGAAGATAATACAACAGATCTGAAAGATCAAATATTGCTTACCTTTGGAATCAGTCACATCTTGGGTCTGTCTGTCTGCAGGGCTGGAAAATTTCCCATCAATGAAGAAGCCAAGAATGCGAGAGTGTTTCTCCAGCCATGACTGAGAGAATGAAAAAAACAAAAAACGGACAGTTTCTTGAGAATTTGTTTAACTGGAATGAATATCTCACACAAATTGGACAGCAACGATGACGTTACACTTTAAAATTAAGTTCAAATATGCTGAAAATTCAAATTACTCTGATAATTCAAACAACAAGCATGCTTGATTTGAGTAAACAAACTGTAGTTTGGTTGTTCCACCTCTGAGGGAACCAATAGAGTGGCTTTGTGAAAACAGGGTGAAGGTTGCAGTAGATCATTCATAGAACATATAGCTCGCACAAAATACATGAACAGTTAACTATTTTGAACTTTGCTCACAACACTTGTGACGTTACACTTTAAAATTAAGTTCAAATATGCTGAAAATTCAAATTACTCTGATAATTCAAACAACAAGCATTCTTGATTTGAGTAAACAAACTGTAGTTTGGTTGTTCCACCTCTGAGGGAACCAATAGAGTGGCTTTGTGAAAACAGGGTGAAGGTTGCAGTAGATCATTCATAGAACATATAGCTCGCACAAAATACATGAACAGTTAACTATTTTGAACTTTGCTCACAACACTTAAAGGGGTAGTTTGAGAGAAAATTACATTTACTTAGACTAATGTTGTTCCAACCTGTATGACTTTCCTTTGGCTTTTTATAAAGTGCGATATAAGAAATATAAACACTTGACCAGCTCAGTCACTTTTCACTTTAATTGCATGGCAAAAAGATGTAATTAATGTGAATGGTGACTGAAGCTGTCAGTTTGTAACCTGCCTAAGATGTTCTTTTGTGTTTCACGTGAGAAAAAAAGTAATATGGACTTAGTTGGTACATGTTGAGGATGAGTAAATGACTGAATTTTCATTTTTAAGCAAACTACTCCTTTGAGACATCCATTGTTTTTTAATGCAAATTTACAGCAAGAGGACCACCACCAGCATCTTATCAGCATCTTTTCTCATGGGCTGTCTGTATCCTAATGAACAGCCACATGTAAATCATTTTAACACAGGGTGAAAAAATGGCAGTGTTCTGTGGCACTTTAAATGATACATAAATATCAAATTGATGATTCAAAGTATTAAATGCATTTAAGATGCATTTTATTTGACCCTCTAACTCTAGCACTCTCTATTCTAATTCTATTCTTTAAAAAAACTTGCCCTTTTAGACTTGCAATCTATTCATTTACTGCTTGTTTTCTTAAAAAATAAAAACACTAGCTTCTCTAATCTTTTTGTATTCTATCTGTTTTCTTTTTATTTATTATACAACTAACAAAAGCAAAAAAGGCCTCTAACACTAGCTTGCTCGATTCTTTTTCTATTCTATCCGTTTTCTTTTTATTTATTATATAATTGAAAAAAAAAACCTTGCTATGTGTTCTGCGTTAAGCTAACTGAGACTTGTTATAGCACTTGTATATCATTGCTCTTTTGTTGATTTTGATTGCTTCCATTGTCCTCATTTGTAAGTCGCTTTGGATAAAAGCGTCTGCTAAATGACTAAATGTAAATGTAAATGTAAGATACAAAGTTAATTTACCCCGAGGATCGCTTTAACGTTACCTGTGCAGTTGCTGTGCTCGTGCTGGATGGTCCATACTCCATCTTTTGAAAGATGTCGTGCACAGTCTTTGTAGAAGTGCCTGCCATAACAATTTAACCTATAGAAATAAAAAATTGTTTCTGACTTCTGAAAAAAATGCTAATTCAAAATAAAATAATAATACTGACTGTGTTGATACTTTCACTTAATAACAGCGATCAAATGTGCAAAGCTGTCAACTACTAGTTACAATAAGCAGGACCTGACGAATTATCGATTGCAAGAAACAGGTAAATATTAAACAATTCAAATGTGCATTAAGCGTGAGCTTAGAAGTCCACGCTGGTATTTCTTCCTGGGTTGTATTGTGTTGCCAGATCGCGCAAGAAAATCAAGCAAAGTGGTATTTAACAGCAAGTCACCAAAAAAGCGAAAATGAGCGAACACTGTTTTTTCTCCCTGATTTGACAGAATGCCTGGATGGAACACCACAGAAAAATAATAATAATACAAATAATAAATCGAAAACATTACTTGAAACACTAAGTAACAACAACAATAGGCTATAGATTGCCTATATTTTACTGATATGGCTTGCGAAGTCTCGCAAGGTAAGTGACTGTGTTTGTTTGTGCTCTTAAGCGATGCTAGACGTTTGTTACTTATGTTTCTCTTCGCTCTACAGATGACCAGATTGGAGAAGCACTCTTAATTGGGTACGTTTCACTTTTTAAATTTATGATGTCGCTGTATGTCGTATTTTATATTCATTATAAACTTAATGTTTCCGTTAATGGCTAGTCTAACCCCCAGCTTTAGAATCTTTGAAAAACTTAAAAACCAACAAACAAACAAACACACACAATAAAGGTTAAACTATGCGGACAAAAACCAACAACAATTTATGGCAAACAATTAATGATCTTTAGTGGACACAGTCACACAGTAAGGCCATGAAATATGTCATCTAAGAAACCGATAAAAAGTTGGTTCGACCTTTGACATTTGTCAGAGATTCAGCCTCGGAAATCTTCAAAAGTTCTTTAACGGTTTAGCACAATGACAAGAAACATACTGTGTTCTAATTGTTTTCAAATGTAGAAGAGAACACACAATGTGTTTTATTTGTTTTAATCTGCCTTAATGTATTGTAACTGATAGATTGTCTGCAAAGTGCAAAACGAAGAGCAAAAAGCACAATTATTCTTATTATCTAAATGCTTCACTTGTGAAATGTATATATATATATAAAAAAAAAAATCAGATCTAAGGGATGTGTCTTATTACTGGTTCATAAAAAAACATTTAGATGTTGGTTTTATTCACAGAACTATAGCACAACCGCCCCCTAGATATTGCACTTGTCTTGACCAAGTTTGACATTCAGAAGTTTAAATAAATTAATTTAGAATGCACACAGTTTGATATGCAAACTTCAAGGGGTGTGTCTTGTTACTTGTTTAAAGAACAATATTTACAGCCATCTTTTACTATCATATGTAATTCAGGATGCACGCTATTGAATTAAAGTTGAATCTGTTAACACATTAATTTTTAAAACATACAGTATTCCATCTCAACTTCAAAGGGTGTGTCTTGTTACTGGTTCATATACGAACATTTCAATGCTGGTTTTATTCACAAAACTATAACACAGCACATGATATTGAAATGTCAACGAATACATCAATCAATCTTCTATCTCAATTTCTAAGGGTGTGTCTTGATACTTGTTCCTAAAATAACATTTCAATGTTTATATTATTCACATAAATATAAGACAAAAAAAGCTTATTTAAATGTAAAAATGGAGAAAAAGCTTAAGATGTGCAGTACACTGCCCCTTAGAGGAACACATTGCAGTTGTTTTGACCGAGTTTAAAATTCAGAAATGTGAATAAATTAATTTAAAATACACAGAGTCTGACATTTAAACCTCAAAGGGTGTGTCTTGTTGCTGGTTTATAGAACCACATTTCTATGTATCTTTTACTTTCATAAGAAAATTCGGATACACGCTATTGAATCAAATTCAAACCTATTAACATATTTTTGTAAACATACAGCATTTTATCTCATCTTCAAAGGCTGTGTCTTGTTACTGGTTCATAGAATAACAAATATCGGTTGAATTTGCAGAACTATAGCACACCACATGCTATTGAAAAGCACATACATCAATTAATAAAAAATACAAATACTCTTATTTCAGCTTCATGGGGTGTGTCTAGTAATTGTTTCCTCTAATGACATTTAAATGTTGGTTTTATTCACAAAAGTATAACACAACAAAAGCTATTGAATTGTAAAAACTGAGAAAGAGCCCTGGAAGCTTCCCAAAGAGTGTGCGGTACACCGCCCCCTAGAGGAATACATTGCAGTTGCTTCGACTGAGTTTGATATTCAGAAATGTGAATAAATAAATTAAAAATACACAAAGTCTGACATGTCAACTTTAAAGGGTGTGTCTTGTTACTGGTTGATAGAACAACATTTACATGCTGGTCTCATGCACAGAACTATAACACAACGCACGATATTGAAATGGCAACAAATACATCTATTCATTTCTAATAAATACGCTCTTCTGTCCCCATTCTAAGGGGTGTGTCGTGTTACTGGTTCATGGAAAATTTACATGGTGGTTTTATTCGCGAAACTGCAACACAGCAAAAGCTGTTTAAATGTAAGGATTGAGCAAAAAGCTCACAAAGCCTTTCACAGATTGTGCAGTACACCGCCCCCTAGAGGAACATGTTTTATTTGTTAAGACTGAGTTTGACATTCAAATGTTTAATAAATTAATTTAAATGTATGCAGTTTTCCATCACAACTTCAAAAGCTGTGTCTTGTTACTGGTTTCTAGAAGAATATTTTAATGTTGGTTTTAGTCACAGAATTATGAGAGGGCACATGCAATTGAAACAGAATTATTAAATTGTTTATTAAGCTGATTAACCAATACATCAATTAGTTATAAATTCAATTTTCAAGCTCTTTTTCAAAGGGCCCGTTTTGTTTCTTTAAAAACACTTTAATGTTTTGTAAGAGGGATCACAAAAAAATGCATGTTATTTTTTTAGTACTGTCCTGAGTAAGATATTTTGCATCAAAGATGTTTACATACAAGACAAAATAATAGCTGAATTATGTCAGAAGCTTCAGAAAGAACCTATATGTTTCCCATATAGCCACACCTACCTAAAACGGCTCGTTCTAACACGCCCCCACATATCTACCTCACTATGTGGAAATATTAGCATAATGCCGCCCAAATGTGCACGCAAAGAAAGAAGGCGTGGTTTCAGGAACAGCAGTAGTGTTGATGCAGCCATGTCAGGGAGACACTGTGTTTCAGTGCGAAAGCAAAAGCACTTTATTTGGCCTTCCGAAACTAGATGCATTTAGGAATCTTTAAGATCACTTACAACAGAACAGCAATGCATTCTATGGACGACCGTTTAGTGAACCTAGGAGAGGAGGTAATTCTGACTTTGCTATGACAATCTGGCGCTTCTGAATCAGCACTGTAAGTATGTTTTGTTATCAGTTTAAGTATTTGCTATTGACTGTTCAAATGCGGAGTTTTGAGCATCGTGTGTGTGTGTGCGCACGCGAGAGAGAGAGAGAGAGAGAG